GAATCCAATCCGGATTGTCACTTTTTCTTAGACTCTACGTATTCCTCTCTATTATACGTTCTCTCTCTATCGTTATTCCATCTCTTGTTTCTAATCTATCTTGTAGGCTCTTAGCTCGCTTACGTCTCTACTCTGACATCTCTCTCTTCTCACTGCTCTTCTCTCTACTCTCTCTCTCTCTCACTCTCACTCTCTCTCTACATCTCATGCTCTCTCTCTCTATCTCTTCTCTCTCTCTCTACTTGCTAATATCTTCATCCACTCTTCCTCTATCTACCCATCTATCCCTCTTCTCCCTCCCCCGCTCCTCTCCCCATTGGTTCTGACTTCTCCTTCTCTCCTCATCCACATAATGTTGCCACTCTCCCTATCTCTCCAGGTCTCCCCCTAATCCTCCTCGTCGTCCCCTCCTATCTGACCTCTCCTATGTCCCCATTCTCGGCGGAAAGACGTCCTTTCAACCTTGGCCATATCATCCCTTCACACGCACTATCCTCCGAGATATCTCTCTTCACATTATCTCCCTTCCTTCCCTATCTCCCTCCCTTCCTCCTCTCCCTCCTCTCCTCCTGATCTCTTCCTCTGCCTATCTTCCCCAGCTTCTCCCATATCTCCCTCCCCTATCTCCCATGTTCCTAATCCTCCCTCTCCTATCCTCTTCTTCCTATCTACCCTCTCCTATCTCCCTCTCTCTACAACCTCTCTCTACAACCTTTCTCTCTATCAACCTCTCTCTTATCAACCCTCTCTCTATTTCAGCCCAGCCGCAGCATCTAAACGTACCTCTACCTGCTACTATCACCTCTCTCCTATCAACCTCCGTCTCTTTTCATCCCTCTCATAGTCTGCACTCATCAACCTCATACGTCCTATGCTTTACTTCTCCGCTCTATCAACGACTCTTGCTTGTTCAATACCTCTCCCTCTATATGTCAACCTTCTCACATCATTCTCATCTACATGTCAATATTTCCTCCTCACTAATTCTGGGCCTCTCTCGTCTATCATTCATCATTATTCTTCTATTCCTCGTCCCTCTGCTCGTATCTCCCTTCTCACACCATCATCTCTATCTCCCTNGAGAGAGAGGATAGAGAAAAGATAGAAGTGGGAAAGGATAGGGAAAGGAAAAGAAAAGAGGAAGATAAGAGAGGAATGAAAAAAAGGGTATAAGGAGAAAGGAAAAAAGACATACCTCCGTATAAGGAAAAGAAAAGAAAGAGAAGGAAAGGAGAGGGGAAGAAGGGTAAGGATTTAGTGGAAGAAGACGAAGGAAGAAAAAAAGGGAAGGAACGAAAATGAGGACTACGGAATTAAGAAGATTTGAAATTAGAATTTAAAAACGGACGGAGAAAAAGACAGAGAAGAAAAAAGCAAAGGAATAAAAGTTAAGACAAAAAAGTAAAAGAAAGAGGAGAGAAGAGAGAGAAAGAGAAAGAAACGCGAAGAGCGAGAAAGAGGAAAAGAGAATGAGAGAGAGAACGAAAAAAAAAAAACAAAATGAAAAGTTATACCAGATTTAATCTCGTGTGGTGGACGTTCCCTTGCATGGTCACTCAGCTCGGAGAAGTAATTTGCATGAATCAGAATAACTTACCAGACTGTGAAAACTGTTGATGCATTTTGATTGACTCCGACATTCGCAGGAACCGGAATATGTTTGGCTTCAACTTACACTGGAATAATTGTTTCAAATGAGCTCTGCAATGTGCAATTGATGATTAAAAAAGAGATGCGTTAGTGGGGAAAAGTGTGGGAAGAAGATTGATTTTGATTTTTGTGATGTGAAATGAGATAGATAGATAGAGAGAAAAATGTAAGATTTTTTTTTTTTTAGATTTTTGAGGGATTTTTTTACGGGAGGGCTAGTAATAGCCCAGTTGGTGTGTGTGGAGTTGTGAAAATCTGCGCAGGGCAGGTAGTGATACGGATCGGTTGGGAGGTGTTATTCAGTCTGTTTCGCGCGTGAAATACGAAACAGTGGATTGGAAGGGTCGATAATTAAAAAGGTAGGAACGTTCTGATGAACCGGTAGATGGAGAAGGTGGACGGAGCGAAGAGAAGAGAGGGAAGAAAGGAGACAGAGAAGAGAAAGAGGAGAGAGAGAGAGAGAGAAGAGAGAGAGAGAGAGAGAGAGAGAGAGAGAGAGAGAGAGAGAAGAGAGAGAGAGAAGAGAAAAGAGAGAGAGAGAGAGAAACGAGAGAAAAGAGAAGAGGAGATAGAAGAATCGAGACCGAAAACCAAGAGACAGAGAGAAGAGAGAAGAAAAAAAAAGACGGAAAGCACCATCATATTTTTTTTTCTTTTTTTGACACTAATCGAAAACCGAGCGGCCGCAGAGCTGGTCTCCCGAGGGCGCGAGATGCCAGGTTCCCGTTTTCATTATTACACGAAGAGACCCTTGGCTTGGGGTGTCTCTGGGGAGGGGGGACTTGTTGATTACGTGCGCGTGTGTTCGGGTGTGTGTGTGTGAGAAAAGGGGGGCTTGCGAGTGACCCAT